TTTATCATTGAGTCAAAGGTCTATTTTCCTCAGTGGAGAAATATTTATCATTTCAATATTGGAATGTCAATAAATATATAGATGTATATGTATGCATGTAAGTGCATATATATTCTGTTATTTAAAACTCTTTAGAACATAAAATAAAAAGGAGCCAAGCACGTCACAAAATAACAAGTGATTATTATAGAGTTCTCAGTGTAAGTTTCTTCAAAAAGCCCCTTAACACCAAGGAGGCAAATATTTCAACACCAAAGTTCAGAAATTCAGAATGGGGAAGATTCTCTTTTCCTGGGAGAAAACCTGTGATTCATTAATGAGATAATCAGTGCTGAAAACATGCCTTTTGCTGCCATCAAGTGGCTCTTTTTGGAATATTCTTATGAACATTAATCAGTGTAGGAGCTTTGCTTCCCTGTTTGATTCCTTGTACATTATACATGTATTATCCTTTGGGAAATGGGAATATTTGAAAAGAACAAGCAAGCCCTTCCTAAGTTAGGGTTTTATATTATGGATGCTATAAAAATTACATTACTAAGAAATTCTTCAGAAAGACAAATTCAAATAAATGTATGTAGTGTCCAAACACTAAAAATCCTCCCCAATCCTATGTGACCTGTTCAGTTTCTAGTCAGTAAAGACCTCGACCTGGAGTTTGGAGCATACCTTTCTTCATTCCTAACCAAACAGAGAATTTCTAAATAAATTGACTTTAAGATATCTAGTTGAACATAGAGGAAATCAGAACATTCATTTAGAATCATTTTTAATCAAGTCAAATCCCACTACTGAGAAAAAATGGTTTTCTTTCTTTCCTTTAATGTCTCACATTCTCGAGGCTTCAGTCACGTAAATAATGCAGCATATTGTGTCGTCACTGCAGAAGTTCAACTGTGATTACTACATAATCCTCATTTTAATTTACTTGATTGCTTTGCCCCGTTTTCTTTCAGTATTTTTCCTTTTCTCTCCCAAGAGATAGTTAAATAAATGGATAGTAGAATCAAAGAAAAAAGGACAATTGCTGCATTAAAAACAAAACAAAGCCAAAATGCTGTGGCAGGTGCCCCTCCATATTCTGAGAAGACAGCAACATTCAACTCAGAATATTGCTTCTTTTGATTGGAAGGTGCATTAATGTGAGTTTGTTCATGAAAAGCAAAGCCCCAGAGAAGTCGAAATAGAAGTTGAGGCAGAAGGGAACTAAATGCTCTATATAATAAAGCAGCGGAATTCTGCAAGGTATTGGGGGGCTCCAGAGAGAAGTAAGAACCTGAAACTGGGAGAAGAGAATAGCCAGAGGTGTCTCGGGAGTTCTAAAATCCAAAAGAAACTATAAATTAAAACCACAAAACCGCACCTGTGGTTATGAGTTCCCCGGGAGAATTTATTTCCCCCAGAGCCCAGTTTAAGGCAGACAAGCTTCCTTGATGCCTGCCTGTGCTAGTGGTTATGTGTTTTTCATTCCACCTTCCTCTGTAGCTCTTTGCAGGACCATCTAATGTGGGAACTTCGATTTCAAGTTCTCACTTAATATGAGCCCAAATCCTGGCTTTGATCCCCACATGAGAGTTAAAACTCAAATCCCTGAGTCGCTGCCTCAGAGCATCAGTTCGTAGCCTTCCTGCCCTGGTTTTCAGATCCTTCTTCATTTTTGTCCTCTAGAGTTTTCCTTTTACCTTTGGGTAAGCTCAGCTATGCATTTAAAGAGGGTCTATCAGGCCACATTACATTTTCCAGCAGTTCTAAGAATTTTGTAGTAGGAGAGGCTTCAGGTTACCTACTCTGACAACTTTTTTTTAAAAAAGAAGTTATTCATAAAATGGCTAAATGTAAAACTCTGCCCAAGATCAGCACCTTCTCTACAGCAGGACCCTCACCTACAACCTCAAACAGTTATTTAAAGACAAATTCACTTTCATCTTGGTGAGTCAAAGAACAAAAGAAGTTACAGTAAGCAGCATTTTGGAGGCGTAAGGTGTAGGGGGGCAGAAAGAGAATCAAAGGTGGAAGGAATTTCTCCCTGTGGTGCTAGGAAATACGAATTGCCTGAGCCTTGGTCCCTTTTAGCCCAACCAGTTGACTTACCTCTTTCCCTCACCATCTGACTGCCTCGCAGTTTGGCTCCCCAGAAATTCTAAAGCCATAAGTTAGTACATACTTCAGGGAATTCACTGTAATGAGAAAAACAGGAGCTGGGCAACTTGACTCTTATCAAGTCTGTTCTACTCCAAAACTCCTGAGGTTCTGGTCTACATAACCATAGGGATTTTGTTGTCTGTAACAAGGGATCATGGGACTCCAGCTAAGCCTAAAGTTGCAACCAATCCTAACATTGGCAACAACAACGATGACAAAAAACCAGAGCAGTGTAGGGAAACTCTTTTCTTCCTCTCAAAAACCCTACAACCACTCACCACTCATGCCAGCCCTAAAGCCTTTCCATTTGAAAAGGAGTCCTAAAATACATGAACACAGATCTTACCATCACAGAAAATTCTTGAAACCCTTTTGGGAATGGTCTAAGCCAATATTCGTAGAGAGATCCATAAACAAGGTCCACATTGAAATCCCCAATGCAAATCAGACTCAGCATAAAGAATCCTGAATTCCCCTCCACCACTAGCAGTCCTCTGATATAAAAACAGTCAACTGTGATGTCAATATGCTCATTGTCCTTTCCACACCCTCTGGCTCCATCATTCCCCACCCTACATAGGATGAAGAAATGCCTCAGATAACATGGTGTCTTCTGGAGAACCCCAAAAGCACCGTTGTATTCATCTGCTCTGAGAACTGATTTTCCTCCAAGTGTATAGTTCTACTTTGAAGGGTTCACTAGTTCAAATGAAGTATATCATAAAAGTTGGTAATATATATTTTACAAATTGAGATTTAATTTTTATCTGTAAACCATTTGCTCCTTGCTTTGGATTTAAAAAAAATATATGGCATCTTTAAGACATCCTCTCAGTAAAAAATCCTTTTCCAACAAAAATCAGTTCGACAGTTACATAAGAATCTGTAATACTGCATTTAGTCTGAGAATAACTGAGAACCACTTTCAATTTTAGTTATAGTACACATAAATTCTAGATGAACTATTCTCTTGTTCTGCACATAACTCCTTCTTTCAATTTTCAAATCAGCTTGAATGATAAAAATACAGAGAAAGGATAATAGGCATATGGTCAATGAGTGACAGGATCAATTATCAATCAGGTCTGTGCCAGCCTTTCAGTTGGCTAAATTACTAGAATTCACTCCTCACTAATTCAATTCCCTCCCTATTATTGTTTAAAATGGAAATTTACTTGGAATGTAACCTCATACAAGTAGCAAAACCTTTCTAGGCCTCAGTTTCTTGACCTGTAAAATGAAGATAATAAAAATACTTATTGCATAGGGTCATTGTGAGTTTTAATCAAGACAATTGGTGTCTGATACTAAGTGCCGAATAACTTAGCTCTCACTAAGATTATTTTTATTATTAGCTATTGAGTGCTTTCCAGTGTGCAAGGGATTATCTTTTATCACATTTAATTTATTGCCTTTAAATCTGCTTCTTTCCTCATAATAAGCTTGTCTGGTTAGCACAGACCTTATTAGCTTCATTAAAAAAAAAAAAAGAATTAGATGAAAAGTCAGCTTCTGAGCAAAGTACATATTTTATATACTATATAATGTATTATTTCCAGAAGCATCTTAAAAAATATAATTTGTACATGGGTCCCTTCCCCTTCTGGTCCTAGTGGCCTGAGTGCACAAAACCTCCCGAAGAGAACTTTGGTTGTGTTAGCTAATCCTATCATTACCCACTCAGGGATTACAGGCTCTGCTCTAAGGCAGCGGCATATCTGACTAACCACAGATTACAGTATGTAACTCCACCATTTAAAATTAGACCTGGTAGGAATGGCATCATTCTAAGACCAAAAAATAATTCTACACAAAGCAGTTTAATAACTCTCTAAACCCTGAACATTTAGTATGGACTAAAGTATAAACATTGTGAAATATCTGCTTTCCCTTTACTATTCATCTTCTTTATTGATGGGAAAAAACAATAAAATTTTAAATGAGCTTCCCTCTCAGCAATGAACAGAGGTGGCCAAATCTACACATAACATCAAAACAATTGCACACTAAAGAACTGAATGACAATCTTGCCCACCTTATATTTAAAAGAAAAGGATATCACCTAGCTTTCTGATCTAATGGAGACGGTAGATCAGTGCACAACAAATATTTAAGGTGGTTTATTACTGTCACTAATCTAATTCTTAATGCTGTAGGCTAAGCCAATCTCTGTATCTTCTGCCCTTAAAACTTACTGAGAGCAAACCAAAAGGAAATTATACTGAAAGACCAATCCTTGTGCTTCATTGTATCATTATTCGTACAAGAAAGAATTGGGGAAAGTAAAAAAGAAAAAGAAAATACAATTTACTTGTTAGCACATCTTCATGCCATGGTGATTTAATAAGTATGGATCACAGCCCTGGATTTAATACAGGGTGGCCCATTTTTAAAACAAGCCATTTGTAACAAAGGTCTCCCTGTCGGGATTGCCAAGAAAAAATGTCACCAGTATCAAACACTTTTATTTAGCCAGGCACTGTAGAGTAATTGAATTGCAAACCTGGACACATTTATCTTAGCCCTGCTCTACTGATTATGTGAATATAAGCAAGTCAGTAAGATTTACTGATTCTCATACTTTCTGTCACTATAATGAGATTAGTACCTGCCCTCAAAATACCCCATAGAAAAGTCCTAAAGAATAAGGAACAAAATCTAAGTATTGTAAAATGTGACACTTTCCTTGGAAAAAAAACGATCTTAAGTGTCTTAAGTAAGAGAAATGCACAAATTATCCCTATTTAGGGTAGAATATTTGTAAGGAAGATTTAGACTACTACAAACTAAAAAATTCTCCTTGAATTCTTATGAGTTTCAAACGTAACACTCACCACAGAAGAAAGGGGAAAGATAACCTACCCCATGGTCCCATCCATTAGAAGAATCGTGTTGTATATGTGAGAAAAGATGAAGAGAAAGAGAATTGTGCTGAAGAACATTGTCATCCATGACCCATGGTCCTCTCGAAACATTTTTAACCGGAGCAACTGACCTGAAATATAAATGTTATTAGAAATCAATGGGCAACGTAACTCAAAATTCCACATCTTTGCTTCATTTTACTGAATATCTATTATCTCACTATATTTTTAGGATTTTGCAGTAGGACTGACTTATGGGTGAAACCATTGTATAATATCCTTTTTGCTCTTTTTTAAGTAAATGATCACAAGTAAAGTCCAAGACCATCCTCATATTACATTTCATCCTAGAGCAAATATTACTAATGTGAGAAGCAAGTATACAGAGATCGTTCATTACACCAGCATGAAAACAAGATGAATTGGAGCACTACTTCCTGATAGTTTTTATTCTACAAATATGTGTTTGGTTCATACTGGAGGCAAGTGGTAAAGAAGTTGCATAAATTCCATATCATTTCCTTTTGCATCCACAAATCCATTCCCAATACTGCCCAAATGTTTAAACCAAGGCCAATTTTACTTATAGGAAGATCCAATTATTTCAGGTACATTAAAACCCAAGAGAAAAAAATAAAGTCTCCATCATAAGACACAGACAGCTTAGCCTCACTCTTAGCTAAAATAGTTTGTACCCACGTGCAGGCCATGCGTAGGTGCATGGAGGCTGGAGGGGGGCGTGTATGTGTGTTATGGAGCTTCATGTGGCTCCTGGCAAAACATAATTACAACCCTGATACCTAAAATTCCATTTACAAATGCTAAAATTAGACAGAATGTTAAAATGTAAATACTTTAAGGAGGATCAATATATTAAGAAGAACACTAAAGCAAAACTTAATAATATCAGAATTAGTCCAGAGAAATGTTTTGATTTATGGTGAAGAAGGGACCTGAAAGGTGAGAAAGATGAAAACCATGGGAACATGAAAAAAGTGAGCATAGACCACCGTGGCTTTTCCCAAGGCAAATTTTCTCCATTATATTTATCTCCATTCCTTAGAAAGTATATCTAAATAATGATAAGGGAGATAATGTATATATAGAAAGTACAATTAAAATAGGGTGGACCTGAAATCTTACAATAGAATGTCTTGCTAGAGAAAATATTTCCTTTTTTAAAAAATAATACATCAAAGTTAGAATACATATATGCATATATATTTCCACCTGGAAATTCTCTCTCTAGGAACAGACAGTATCTCTCACATAGCTTACTGAGCACAGGAAGAAATAATCTTTTAACTATGGAATCATTGTGCAGCATATGCATGTACTGAAACAACACACTGTACCCCACAAATACGTATAAGTAAATGCTAAAAAATTTTTAAAGATTTAACTATGAAAATTTCCTTTATCTCTCACTATCTCACTTTAATCAAAATAGCACTTTAGATTTCATTTGGAAATCAGGCTAACAGAAACATCACCCTAGCCAAAACTTTGGATGGAGCAAAAAAAAATTGGTTATATCACCTGCTTTGTTGCCCTATACAAGAGAAGTAAAGGGCAAACCTGAAAGTCAGGGAGTGTGTATGACTGTATAACTAAAAGAAGAATGTGAAAAAAACTACTGAAACAAATGATACTAACGCTGAAAGTTACCACATTACAGAACTTGTTGATTAACTGAACTAATAATTATGTTCAAGCCTCCACACAAAATATTGACAGTAATATCACAAACAGATATTAAGCACAGAATGCTTGAAAGTAAAAACACATGCTATAAATATCTTAAAGCAAACATTAAAGAATATTTATTCATTCACTGAACAAATATTTAATGTGTGCCTATTACATGCCAGACATGGTTCTAGGTGCTGGCAATAGAGCTGTGAGCACGGCAGGAGAGAGCTCAGAGTCAATCATCATTTGGTATTTAATGGAAATGTAACCTTATTTTAGACTCACTGGATCTCTTTGTTCAGGGGTCCCTTTGGTAGCAGCAAGTCCTTTCAGCTTCAAACCAAGACCTATTTATTCAATTCAGCAGTTGACATTGAAGGACTTCAAAGACTGGCGATTAGAGCTATTTTAAGATTTAAATGTGAATTTCTTAATATATGCATATGTCAAAAAATGCACTAACAAATGTACTTTAAAAGTCAAATAATAATGCTGGTGATTTAAGAGCGCTTTGCAAATAAAAGATTGTGAATTAACTGTACACTGGTTGAAATACTACAAAATTAGAAAAAAGAGAAAGTGACAGTACCATTTATGCTGTCACGGCCAAGCTCATTGTCGGGCACAAATTTCAGCCATTAGAGTTATTAGAACAAAACGACAGGTTAATGTGGCTTGAAATTCACTTGAGGAGGACAATAAAAGTGCTGCAATATATTAAGGCCAGAATTGGTGTGAGCCAAGCGTTGAGTCAAAAAACATTATAAAAATTTCTCATAAGCCACTTCAAGGTTAACTTAGTGAGTGACCATCTAATGCTAGAAATGTGTACACACAGACTGCTCTCACAAATGATGTTTCCATGCAAGCTAATCAAACCAAGAACCTTGGACCTATCCTAGGACATCATACGAAAATATACTGTCTCGGCCCTCTAGGGTGACCATACATGTGGTTTGCCTGGGACAGTAGTGGTTTATAACTGTTGTCCTGGCATAATTATTAATAGTGACCCCTTCCTTTATTAAATGTACTTCTTTATAGAATAAATTATATGCCACCTTTCCTATAGGTCACAGAATTCAGAATTTTATAACATTTTTCTTTCGAGGAGTTTCAGGAGATTAGAGAGTAAAAACAGTCCTTACAGGTCAACAGAAGTAAAAGACATCACAAAGAGAGGCACAGTTCTAACAACATTGAAAACGATTTTTATTTTAATCATAGATATATTTGTAAATCTGAATGTATATCCATCTTATTAATAAAATCTATCTGGGCCTATACAGACCATCACCTTTGATATGGTCAAGGTAATTGGAATATAGTTTAGAACAATCAGAAACATTTAGGTGATACACAAACCTATACGTATGGTAAAGGTGAGGGCGGGAGGGCACAGGGATTGACAGTTATGAATACCAGCTAAGGTCAACTGAAATGTGGCCTAGAACTTCAAAATTTTTCCTGGAAATACATTAGGTTTAGAACCACTAAGATGTCAGAAATTCTAACAAGATTAATGAACTAAGAGCATATTAAAAACTATAAGATAAACTCACATATGCTGTGGAAGATAGAGGTAGACAAGTGCAAGAGGAAGAATTATAGGGGAATTACTTGGTTTCTCGGCTTTTTTGTTGCTATGTTCTCAACAGCAAAAGATGGAAAGGAACATTTCCTTTCTGCCTCACTGCCAGACTTCTATCAATAGTTTTGGGTCCCTTTCCTTTAGGAGTGGTTCTCCCAAAGAGACCTGCGTGAAGAAATAAATAATCTCAGAGGATACTATGGACATTTTCACAATGTTAATTCTTCCAATCCAAGCGCATGGAATGTCTTTCCATCTTTCTTGTGTCCTCTTTAATTTCTTTCAGCAGTGATTCATAGTTCTTGTTGTAGGGATCATTCACACCCTTGGCTAAATTTATTCCCAGGTATGTTATTTTTTGGTAGCTATTGTAAATGGGCTTGTTTTCTTGATTTCTTTTTCTGCTAGCTCATTGTTGGAGTATAAAACCACAAGGAGTAGAAGCGCTTGTACCTCTGGGTAAGAGACGGAGGTAGCCCTACTCCTGGGAATTTATTGAAGTGGGAGATCGAATAGAGCAAGGACTTCTATGTTCACAGAGGATACAAGGATTCAGACCTCCAAGGTATCAGAGTTCATCTCAGGATGAATATATGTACAAGGTATCACACTCATGGCTTTAGAAGTCCAGGCTGTCAACATGAGCTAACCCCAAGGGAATGGGGCCAGCAGGGCAGCCACTCACCTCCACTAGGAGCACAATGACCTCAGTAGATCCCGGCCACTTTAGAATCATATGCCAGAGAGGCAGTAAAAGATCATTACCTGAGCAGCATTAGGAGAAGGGCTGGAGAGGTAAATACAAACTGAAGGATTTATTTTCAAGATGCCTGTAAATTTCTGTAAAGAAAAGGTGATCTGAAAAATTATTAATATTGTATGCCATTCTCACCTTGGAAAGGTAAACTCAAAGCAAGATTAATTTAATAGAGAGAAAAAAATGTGACATTATACATGAGACCCTGACCAGAAATATAAAAGGACAAATGAAGGAATATTTTCCTCAAGAGGACTCAAAACTTAACACTTTTATCCAGTAAGTCTTCTGCACCAAAATCTTCTGTATATGATTTGGCCATCCATATATATTAGAAATAAATGGACCCTGCAGTTATTTAAAGGGTATATTTAGTTTGTCGGAGTCAAAAGATAGTTAATTCACCAGGAAGATATGACAATTTTAAATGTATATATGCACCCAACATCTTTGGGCTGGGTGGGTCCTAAACCATCACCAAAGCCAGAGTTATGAAAAGCAATGATTAGCTAAGCCTATGTCACATGCTCCACTCCTAGAACCAGATAAAATTAGTTCCCTAACACCACCTTGATCCTCAAATGCAAGTTGAGATTTGCAAACATGGTGTTGAAGAAGGTAGAGCCGTAAGATGTATGGCCCCTGGGTCTTTGAATCACTGCTTGGAACAGTGGTGCCTGCCATGTTTTAGGCTTTATGTGAGTGAGAAACCCAATTGGTCTGCAGCCATTATATATTTTGGAGATTTTTATTACTGCAGCTAGCATTATCTTACAAGATACAATATGACGGATGGAGCAAAGGCCCAGAGCAGGAAAGAAAAAACAGGGCTTAAATGGCCCAAGTGAAGTCTTTTTTTTCCTTTACCTTTCTTTATATCCCTAGTTCCCAGCAGAATGGATAATAAAATATTTTTATTGAATGAAATACTGATGGGAAGATTCTAGAAGAAAAATTAAGACCTTCCCTCAAGTCCACCAAAAGAAAAATTCTACAAGTAAAATATGGAGAAAACCCACCTGGCCGGCAATGAAGCATTGCCATTGCTCAGAATGCTCAACCTCAGAAGACCCAAGGCTCAACACTTTGTA